TTTAAGTTCAATGACTTCTTAACCCTACAGTAGACTTGAGTCTTCAAAAGGTGTTCCCCATTTTATGGAATTAAATTATTAGCTGCTTCCGGTCACATGTAAAAATGTGGCAACAAAAGATGACCTTGGTCTTCTAGAAAAGAATGATAATACATTCCACAATCCTACTCCTGTCTATCCCCCCCCCCCCAATCCACTATACTAATGAAACAGCATAATGAAATAAGAGAAAGTGTGGCAGGCCAAAATTCTAAAAAGAGTATAATTGCAGACCTGACAGTAAGGTCTGATAAAATAAAAGGCTTTCCAAATGGGAGGAGAATGGTTTTTTCAAACCAGTTTGAGAACCCAAGAATAGCTCTGTCTGATGGGATCAGGACCATCTTAGACCAGCTCTTAGTTTCTCAAGGTTACTACAGATGCCTCTGGGGTGCTCAAAAATAGGAGAGATGGAAATAGATCCTTCTCCCACCTTTGTTTTTTTAAAAAAAATATTTATTTATGCAGCTAATAATTTAATTCCATAAAATGGGGAACACCTTTTGAAGACTCAAGTCTACTGTAGGGTTAAGAAGTCATTGAACTTAAATACTCTGTCCCCTATGGACTAATTTCTTCCCCTGGATTCCTTTCCAAGGTTTTTGGCTTCTGCATGTTTCTTTGCACTCATAGATTTCTAGGCTCAAGCGTATTGATGGCTTCTTGGAAAGGCACATTACTTTTAACAATGCTGACAAGGAATCCTAAGACGTATTAAATATTGAATGACTCTACTCTCATCACATTAAACCTATTAGAATTCTTTCTTGAGATCTGACATACAGACTAATTTGTAGAATAATCTCAGGTTGCAAAGGGAAGCAAAAACTGGAACAGTCCATGTAACATTGTAGGATATTTAGAACAAACAATAGAAGTCTGGCTGAAAAGAAGTCAAGTTCATCTATTGAAAGCTGTTGCATTAGACCTGTTTCCGAGCCTGCCCCTCAATTTACCAAAGCAATTATAAGTGTATGACCACAACTCTATGTGCCAAAAGTGAAAAATATGTTCAATATCTGTGTTTAAAATCATGCTAACTCCGAAATCTAGATACTGTAGTTAGTTTTCCCTTCTCATTTATTGAAGAAAGAGGTTTGTTGGAAGAAGTTATAAACAGCATCTGGATACCGTTCCCACCATGTGGCTGTGACTTCTCATGTAGTGATTTTGGATTGTGTGAGAGATCTATGGAGATGCTCGGTCATGGTTGTCCCAAAAGTGCTTTTTCAAAAGGCAACTGGTCTTACATTTTTTCCTTGAAGACATTTTGCATCTCATCCAAGAAACTTCCCCAGAACTGAAGAAGCTTCTCGGAGGGGAAGTGAAACATCTTCAAGCAAAAGCCAAGTCAGTCCAGTT